TAAGGCACTTAAAAATAATGTGTCAAATAAAACATTTCATTTAGAGACATCTATTTATAACAATTAAATATTAGTTATATCTTTTTAGGCGTTTCAAGTTTCTTTCTCATATTTATTCATTAAATTTTGTCTGTAAACATCTAATTTTCTTATCCTATCTATTATGTGAACATTTCATTATATTTCCTCTTCATGTTTCCATAAACCACTCAAGGAGGCTATTTCCGCAATTTTAAATTGCACGCCAAGCAAACATCATGGGTGTCGTCATAGTACACCTGTAGCCATGGTTAAAAGCGGGCTCTCAAGGTCAGCGTTGGAGATCAATTCCGGCCTACCGCGGGGGATACAACCGAATTCGAACGTACCGCCAAGGACAGTTCAGGTCAGGTCAGGTCAGTTTCCACAGGACTGAATATGGACACGGCCAATCGAGCGTCCAGAATTCCTTCGATGATATGCTCACTAGGTGGGCACCCAGCAATGCTGAAATAAAAATGAGAAATAAAATCTCATCTCACCAAGTTGGCGAGTGAATTGTTAGACGTGAACGTTCCATTACGNCTCGTCTACACTGCCAGTGATGGGAATAGTTCTACCCATCGCTTGTCAAGTGCAGTCTTAAAGGCCTGCACTGTCTGAAGGTCGACTATTTCCTGGGGAAGCCGGTTCCAGCTATCGACTATCCTATTACTGAAAAAGTGCTTCCGCATGTTTAGTCGATATCTTTGCTTCATGAGCTTGAACTCATGCCCCCTAGTGCTGAGTTTTGGAGCTAATGTGAAGAGAGTGTCCGCTCCTATCTCCGATATTCCCTTCATGATTTTTAAGGTTTCTAACAGGTCCCCTCGAAGTCTCCTTCGTTCTAATGAGAAAAAGTTCTCTTTAGTCACTCCTGATTTGACCTTGACCACCGCGTTATCCTTCGTGTTAGTCATTGTCTATGGTTGTTTGATGTCGGATTCTCGTGTCCAATGACCTTGTGTGTCTACCTATCGATCCCACCCGTGTCATTATCCTGTGCACAAACGTGGCTTGTTGTGTCACCGTCAAAGTCCCTGTATGCCCCGTCACTAACCCTATGACCTCATTTGTTGTCTTGCTCTTTGTGAGTGCATACCTGACTTCGATCACTGGCTGTTCACGTTCGGTGAACAGAATTTCTCCCCGTGGCAAACAGATCATTGTCAATCTGTTTGAACTTTTTTAGGCTGTTCACGTTAAGTGAACAGAATCCCTTGCTTGACCTAACAGGTATTTATGTGCTCTCTTTGTTTATTTATTTCCTTGTCTTTATATCAAGTCTTTACCCATTTTTTTGAACTCACTTTTGGGGCTGTATAGTGACTGAGTCGCATTGTTGAGGTACGTTGTTCTTTGACTCGCCTAATGAAATGAACAGTTTTGTACGCATTGCGGATCAATAGCGTTCTGAATTCGGGGTTCGCATTTCGCTACGCATTGCCCAACGGTCTCATTGACGCTATACAGAACGATCGTAGAATAGTCGATTACACTCGGGCTTCGGTCGAGCCAGGATAAGTCGTTTTGGAAATTACACTGGTAAATGGCCCAGGAGTGCATCCATTCGCGTAAACTTTCGCCTGGACTTCGAGGACACCTCCCGAGCTTCCAGTCAACATACCTAAGATTGAAGTCACCCATGGCGACCAGTCTGGTCGAATTTCGAGCCATGTTGTCTAGTGCCTGGATAGTCTGTTGGTCCTCCGATTGTGTGGCACCAGGACCCCTATACACACCGGCCATGGGCATTTTTCTGCTATTTATAATAAGATCTACTGCAACGAGCTGCACATTGAGAGTAGAAACCTTAGTTTTCGATACTACTGAGCACAGGGCTACTGAGCAGGGCTACTCCTCTTCCCTGGACAGAGCCACCCCCATATGTTCTATAGTTAACAAAGTTATCCTGAACCATACTAGGGTTAGGATCACTCTCTGAGAGCCAGGTTTCTGTTATGCCTACAGCGGTAGCCTTATGGGTCTCCGTCGCCATCAGAACCTAGGCCCACTTGTTTCTTACACTGCAAGTATTTGTACACAGCAGTGACATCCTCTTCTGTTGATTTTCTATTTTGAGAGAGCCCGAGGAGATCCCACGTTTTTTAGGGCCTCAAGAACGACCTCCTCGAGTGGAGTTGCCCATCTCATTGTACACTCCTGTCCCCTGGACTCTGATTCTCTCTTCAGGGGCGTGGTAGTTGCACAGGTCGTGTCCCCGTGCCGACCGACTGTCACTTACTACTAAAGATTGAAGGCAACTCTGTCATTCTCCTTCCAACATGTCCTCTACTATGACGACCGCTTCATTGACCACAGGGTCAGATCTAAGAAGGTCCACCACCTGCGTTTTTGAAGGTATCTGCTTCTCTCGATTTTGGGGCCCGGGAAGCTGCCTTGGTTGGTCAGGGACTATCCAAAATCGTCCCTGCGTACGAGTCGCTATCCAACCGGCCCGCATGAGGATTGTTGAATTCTACGAGAATCGGTCTTGCCGAAATTTGCCTACCCGGCCCAGGGTTCTTCCACAGTCCCACGCTGTGCACTCTTTTGAGAGAATTTTTGGATCTAATCCTGCCAACCGCAGGATATCCACCGCCCTCTTTCGATCCATTTCTCTCCGGGTTTTCGACGCTCTGATCATAGGCTCATCGTTTTTGAGAGTGAGCACTGTTCTGTTGCAGTTTCTCACCCCCTGCCAGATAGGGTTTCTAACTCCCTGCTGAGCAGGTTAGCTTTATTTTGAAGGTCAAGGACCGTGAGGTTTTGCACTCTCTTTTGTAGTGAGGGGTCCTGCGCACTGTTCGACGTACAGATACCACCAGCCCTGGACTTCATTGCCGGTTTCTTCGCTTTTGGCGTATCTGCCTGTACTGCCTTACACTCTGACTGTGAGCCTTTGTTACTTCCTCTAACACTTCCCTTCGTGGTCACAGCTTCGGCATAGCTTTTCGGGGTAGTGCTCCCAGCTACACCTCGTCCTGTGGCCTGCTGCTTATAAACCATTTGAGGAGTTTGCTCCTCACCTACCGCCTTAGCACTGAAATCCATCGCCGCTGCAGTCTTGCATATTGTACACATTCACTCCAAGTCAGGGTACTTGCAGAATAGAGTGTACGTTTCCTGCTTAACTCCAGAGCACTTTTAATGTTCCCAACGCTTACATATACCACATTCTATTCCTCTAACCAGCTTCTTCCCACATGCATTAGACAAACAAGGGAAGCAAACCTTAGCCATGTTAACACGAGAAAAAAAGATATGCAAAGAAAACGGTGTATTCAGGAAACCTTAGAAAATAAAACAATTAGTGACACTTATAACGGAATTTAGATGAAATCCCGAGAAAAGCAACCAAAAAAGGAACTAACCCTTTCACTCTTAACCTCTGAGGTTAAAAATTAAAAAAATAATATCTTACTGATACTTAATAAACGGGTTGTCAGTAAATTGTTATGAATAATTTATTGTCAAATACACACTGAAAATCGTTTTGATAATTCAGTGCAGCGAGGAATACAACCGGTTTCAGTTCAGTTCTCACAGTACGATATCAGGTCAGGTCAGGTCAAGTCAGGTTGCACAGGGCTGATAATGGCCACGGCCAATCGAGCGTCCAGGTTTCTTCCGGCGGCATGCTCACAATGTGTGCACCCACCAATGTGATTTGTGGCTCTTGCCAGTCGAGCGTCCAGATTCGTGCGTTTTCGGCGAGTTTCCTAGGCTTCCATCACTTCGATATGCAATTTTTCTGAAAGGTAGAATAATCTGGCTCAGTATCACATTCTTTGTGGTCACGTCAGGTCGGGTCCCAGGACGTGCGGCTGAGGCCAGGTACCGTCCAGATTATTGCACTGATGAGCTGCGATCGTCTTCTCACAGTGCTTGATAGCGTATGTATTCGTCGTCGTTCTTTGTCTGCGAAACAGTAAGGATGGCAGCTCGTGTACTCTGTCAGAAGGAGCAGTCATTTGGAATTGTGCAGGTTCACGCCGCTTATCCGATGTGGCACACTCCCCCTCGTGGTCGATCCCTCCAGCAAAGTCTAGGGTAAGTGAAAAGAGTTCGGGAGGGTGCTACAGTATAAAATCAA